CCCCCCACCCACACTGCAAACCCCCCCGAACGTCATTCCAACAACCCCGCCTTCCGCAGCCTGTCATCCCCCTGACCAAGCTCTCTAATGTGAGTGTGGCTCTAGTGGCGCTCGCTTGGCCATTGGCATTGGCGCATTGGATCATTGGAAGCTATGCAACGAGGGCCACATGAAGCTGGCATGCATTCTCTCCCTCACAAGCACCCACAACGCGACCCAACATGGATCGTCCGACCAACGCCCCCCTCTTTTGTGACTGTTTAGTGACTGGCATGTCTGGGGCCTCGTACGCCGCCCGTCCCCCAGTTCTCCTCCTTCCATTGCACCCATTCTCCATCATCCTCCTCATCACAATCACGCCCTCTTTCGCTTCTTTGCTCTCGCTTGCTTCTCCTAACTCGTACAGTGTATCCACAATATACCAAGTAGCAGCCACAACACAAGTCATTCGTTTCATTGCAACTACATCCCTCACTCCCCGGCGACACATACACCATGCTCGCCTCCTCTCTTGCCCTCTGGGCTCTTCTCCCAGCACTCGCCACCGCTAGGCCCAGCTTTGAGAAGCGGCAGACACGACAGTCGCCCATCCCCAAGCCCAACGGCTTTCAGCCAGCTGGCGACGCTGGCATCTCGGCACAGATGGTATGTCTTTGTCTCCCCTGCTTCTGTCATAATCAGTCCGTGCTCACACATGCACAGATGTTCCTCGGCACCAAGAACAAGGTGTACATCCTCGACAAGACCGAAAACAACCCCACCACCATTGACGGCCGCTATGGCTCCCACCCAGCCTGGGCCGTCGAGTACGACATTAACACCCAAAAGGTCCGCCCCATGGACGTCTACTCGAACACCTTTTGCGCCGGCGGTGCTGTTCTTGGCAACGGGACGTGGGCAGTCTTTGGCGGTAACCAGCGTGAGTACTGCTTGCTTCTCCTGGAAGTGTAACGCCGTGCCTGTGACATGGGGTCAATTGGCTTGGCGGTATGCGAGGTCGTTCTCTCTCTCCCTCTCTCTGACAACCACAGCCGTAACCACCGACGGTGTCGCCACCAACGAGCTCGCTGCATACAAGACCATGACTGGTGGCACTGCCATCCGCATACTCAACCCATGCGACGACGAAAAATGCGAATACATCCAGGGCGCCCAGACTCTGGACATTAACCAGGACACTGGTGGCTACCTTCAGATGACTGGCAAGCGCTGGTATCCAACCGTTGAGACCTTGCCAGATGGAACTCTTATTGTCATTGGCGGTGACAAGAACGGCGGCTATGTCAACACTGCTGTGCAGGACAACCCGACGTACGAGTTCTTCCCACCAGACAACCAGGGAGCCATCAACCTCCAGTTCTTGTCCGACACCCTTCCCGTCAACCTTTACCCCCTCACTTGGCTTCTGCCTTCTGGCAAGCTATTCATGCAGGCAGCTCGTAAGACTATCATCTACGACTACAAGACCCGCGAGACGACAAACCTTCCTGACATGCCCATCGCCACGCGTGTCTACCCTGCATCGGCTGCCACTGTCATGCTTCCTCTCAGCTCGGCAAACGGCTGGCAGCCCACTCTCCTCTTCTGCGGAGGCTCCGCTACTGAGCGATGGGGAGATGACGTCGGCCCCGGTTACAACGTGACTGCGGTTCAGGCCGACAACTCGTGCTACCGCATCACCCCTGAGGGCTCCGCCAACCCCCGCTACGAGCAGGACGACTGGATGTTTGAGGGTCGTTCCATGGGTGAATTCGTTCTCATGCCCGATGGTAACATTTGGATGGGCAACGGTGTTGCCATGGGCACTGCTGGCTACGGTGACTTCAACTACTCGGTAGGCGAGTCGTACGGCCAGGATCCACTCTACACCCCGGCCATCTACCGCCCCTTCAACCAGCCAGGTCAGCGCTGGGACCGTACTGGTCTCGAGGCATCTCCCAACGAGCGCATGTACCACTCGACTGCGATCCTCCTCCCTGACTCGTCCATCCTCATCTCGGGCTCCAACCCCAACAAGGACTTTACCAACAAGCAGTGGCGGTCGCGCACTGACATTGAGCGGTGGTACCCATCGTACTACAATGAGCCGCGTCCCACTTTCACTGGCTTGCCCGAGACCTTCACCTATGGCGGCGACTACTTCAACATCACATTGAACGGCACCGTCAGCGCCGCATCTGCCAACACCACTCGCGTGACCCTCATCCGCGGTGGATTCCACACCCACGCCCTCGGGTTTGGCCAGCGCCAGATCTTCCTTGACACGTCGTACACCTTTGACGAGGCGACACAGACCGCAACCATCCACGTTTCGCAGCTACCAGGTACCAACGGCCCTAACCTCTTCCAGCCAGGCCCAGCGCTCGCCTTCGTCCTCGTTGATGGCGTCCCTTCGCAGGGCGAGATGGTCATGGTTGGCAACGGCCAGCTTGGCGAGCAGCCTACTACCGCCAACGCTGAGCTTCCCGGTTCGCAGACCGTTCCCCTCCCTCAGCCCGAGGTCAACAACAACCCCGAATCCGACAATGCCAACACTGGCAGCACCAACGTGAAGAGCGACGCTCCTCCCTCTTCGGCTGGTCTCGTCACCCTTGCCCTCCCCGGTATCGTCACTATCCTGACCCTCATGGTCCCCGCCGTCCTGCTCTAGTAAACACGGACACTTAGAGTAGAACAATTGTCCCGTTAGCATAGCCCCCCCCCCCCCCTCCCCCCCCTTCCGTTGTCGTACAAACCCACTGCATTGACACCCTCACCCAATGCGCAGTATAAAGCTTGTAATTAGAATGGACATTTTCGACAGGTCACGGTGAGGGCGACAACGAGCGAGGGAGAGCGGTGCTGGTGTTCTTTCTTTAGCCCAGATTGCGTGTCTTGTTACCCTATGTTCGAGCTGTCCGCAGCTGTCGGCTGCCCACTTTAAGCTGCACCTCAATCTCAGATGGTCAGATGCAACTCTCACGCACAAGCTTCCATGACCTCTTCCAACCTTTGCGCCAAAGCATGTGGTCGATCGGAACGTCATCCGCCACCGACATCAGCGGGTGGCATGTAATTCCGCCGTACCTTGCTGCAAGCGCATGACCTCTTTCGGCGGCTATTGGGTCTGCTGATTGCTCCGGCATGATCACAAGTCTTTACTCGTAATGTTCGGTATGAGGAAAGGCACAAGCGGCAGCTTGTCAACCATACCCGGATTGGGGGGGGGGGGGGGGGGGGGGGGGGGGACGTGGGGGAGCGTGAGCACCCCGATCTTGTTGATTTTTACCCAGAGCCGTCTGTCCGATGTTTGCGTACTGCACACACCGTGTAACATTGATTGGATGTAATATTTGCCCCAGCTCGGTAGATGACTACTGTCCCCCACTCGTATCGGACATTCGCCGCAGGCGGCGAGTTCGCCGCTTGTCTTGCATACCGCGGCGCTGCTGACGCCCAACTGTATTAAACTGCCAACTGCCACTCTGCCAAGCGCTTCCAGTACCCCAGCGTACCATCGTCAAGATCGCCGCTCGCAGAGATCCGACCACGTGCGAAAGCATGCATCATGCATCCCGGGCCGGGCCATCGTATGCCCGCGTATGCCCGCTCGACACCGTGTATCCCTCGTGCGCAGTGCAGGCAATTCACCGTGTTACCATTGTCGAGGCGTCGGGGGGCGTCTGGACATGGGCCCCTCCTGCTACATGTGGACCGGAGGGCTACACCGCCAGCTATTCACAGCGTGACTGGGGACGGTACGCGCACGCCATCACGGTATGCAGTAAGAGCGAGGAAGCGATTGGAGCGTTCGAGGCAATGCAATGGGAGGCTTGGGAGGCTGGGGAGCGGCGTTGGAAATGTGCTCCCGAAGCCTGAATTCGGCGATCGGCGACATGCCTCCGAAGCATCGTGAGCGCTCAGCGACAGCTCTGAGATATGAAAGCCATCCATGCCCGACGTGGTGGGAGAATAGAGGACCCGAACGGCGAGACAATGTGATCTGCTACCTGCCTGCCGAGAGTGAGACGACTGCAGTATGCGGAGTGACTATGATGAGGCAGACGGACTGAGGCATGGGATGGAGGGGGATGAAATAGAGAGGGGGTTTGGTATTATTTGCTGGGTCGGGTAAGGAGATTGGTCTAGTCCCCGTCCCCTCCCTGCCTTGGGCTCCCTCGAGGCGTCCAGGCCCAAGCACACTCGAGATGGTGGACAAGCACTCTTCAACATCGTCGACATCCTCTTCTCTCTCTTCCACTCTCCCTCTCTCCCCCTCTTCTCTTCTCCCGTCCCCTCTTCTCCATCCTCTCCATCTCCATCCCGTCTCTTCAATCCCTCCTCCCCATCCTCGCCTCGTCAAACACGCGCCAGCCCCTCCCAAATCAACGCCTTTCTTCTCTTAAAAGCCGATCCCGTCCCGCTCGGCAGCAGGTGGCCACGCTCATTCGCGCCCACTTCGACCTCCCGGCCCACCTTACCACCTATCCACACCATCATCCAGCTTCACCCCATGGCAACCACCGCCGCCCCCCTCGCCGCCGGTCGCGCGGCCCGTGTGTCTGCTCTCGGGGCAGACGGCCCGCGCGAGCGCTCTCCTTCCCCTTCCTCGCCGCCCCTCATTTCTCCCGGCACTCTTCCACCTGAAGACGACTCCAAGGTCGAAGTCTCCCAAATCGAGGCCAGCGACTTTACTGGCGTCACCTTCAGTCCAGAGTGAGTCTTCTCCTGCGGCTGTTCAGTGCGCGCGTGCTCGCCGCATGGCGCTGTTGCCGTGAAAATCCATCGGATCCGGTACCCGAAAGACATGGCCCCGCAACTACTATGCTCGCATGCCCGCTGCGTCGGGCAGTGCGAGGCGCAATCCGCAGTGCAAACTGCTGAGGCGCCACGGCGCTGCGGCGTTGCGCTGGAGTTGGCCACCAACACACACTGTGCCGCACCTTCATCCATCCGGCTCGCGGCTATGTCGGCCGACCGACTCTGTCTTGCGATCGCCAGGTACCATACACACGGCTCTTCGCCCCCTGATCGGTTGCCCAGTCATTCATGGGTCCCCACTCTCTAGCACCCCGCGCTGACTCGCAGACTATGGATGCAGCGGCGGCACTGGGCGCTCGAGGTGCTTCGCAAGGAGAGCGTCCGCTCCGTGATGGACATTGGGTGCGGACCGGGCTCGCTCCTCCAGACGCTTGTCATGCCCCCAAGCACGATCGCCGAGAAGCCCATCCGCGGTGACGACGGTAGCATTCCGGACGGCAAGGAGCTCTTCATCCGCGTGAGTACCTGAGATCAATCTCGCTTGAGCCTTCTCATCGAGCTCGCGCCATCCAGTGCTCGTGCGGAGCTCATCTGCTCGAGCTCGAGCTCGAGTTCGAGTTCGGAGAAACAACTCGTGGACAATGTCGCAAAATGATAGGCGACATCTAGCAGGTGACACCGGCAGGCTCCCCTGGCCTGTGCGGTTCAACTGGCTACCACTTCTGACATTGATCGTGCTCGAGCCTCTCTACCTTTCTTTTTTGCTCTCGATCGTGGCTGACGCCAGCGCCTGGTAGGAGTGGACATTGACCCTGCGGTCATGTCCTCAGCGTTGCAAACTCTGGCGGTGCCCCCTCAAGCTGAGGCGAGCGCTATTCGCAATCCCGCCCCTTCCAGTCCTCGATGGGAGCCTCTTGACACAGAACTATGGCTTGGCAACATTGAGCTCTACAACTCCAGACTCGAGGGCTACGAGGCTATCGTGGCCCTCGAGGTCATCGAGCACCTCGAGCCGAACCTCCTCTCCCGCTTTGGCGTCGTAACGATGGGAACCTACCGCCCCAAACTGCTTCTAGTCAGCACTCCGGTAAGTCCCACCCTGTGTCCGAGCGAGAATGTCGTGCTCGGCCGTCACGGTTATTGATGTGTTCTGGGACTGCAAGAAATGGTGCATTGTCGCTCACAAGCGGCGAAGTCCGCATTGTGGCTCCCGCATCTCATCGCGACTGTCCCGTGCGCAACTCAATCATGCCCTGGCTCGACGCCACTGCCCACCGGTTGGCCATTCTCGGCGATTCTCGCCAAGCAGCGTTCCTCCGACAACGATCCGAGAGCACTTCGGTGACTCGCGCTAACGGCAGAACTTTGACTTCAACTCCAAGTTCCCCAATCACCACGACGACCACCACGACGGCTGTGGCAAGCGCGGCTTTGTTGACCCGACTGGGCGCACTGACCGTGTCTTCCGTCACTCGGACCATAAATGCGAGATGACCGCCGAGGAGTTCCGCAACTGGGCCGAGTCGGCAGCGGCTGACTGGGGCTACACTGTCGAGGTCAGCGGTGTTGGTATCTCCAACAAGCCTTCGTTCTACCCAGCCAAGGACGGCGAGGAACCTAGGCCCATCTATGCGACGCAGACGGCCGTCTTCCGTCTGGCGACTGGTGTACCCATGCGCTCTCCTCGCAGCGTCCGCACGGTTGATCTTCCATTCATGCTCGGTGCGAGCGAGAGCGCACACCCCCACAGACTCGCACACAAGGCACGCCACCCGCCGACCATCTTCCCCGCGCCCGGCGCACCCATGTCGCCCGAAGAGGTCTCTGAGGGAGTGCGCAGAGCGTTTGCCAGCGTATCAGTTGAGGAGCTCAGCCTTCCCGAGCTGTGGGGCATGGGCGACATTGCCCCGATGTGCTGCGGCTCGAAGCGCTACCTTGTTGCCTGCCTCGGCGGATGGGGCGACTGCCCGTCCGTGCACGAAGAGTCGGGCTTCCGGGTGTTTGAGCGCAACAACGGCCTCTGGGTTCAGCCCAAGTGAGGGGCGGTATGCAGGTGGAGGATATGCTCGTCGCCCTGCTGCTGCCTTGTCTCTACCCCATCTATTGCGACGACGGGGAAGAGAACGGCAGCGGCAGCGGCAGGCTAGCAGAGGAGGTGAGGGAGGGGAGAGGGCGCCGGCAGGTGCGTTCAACATCAGCACACGGCCATCGAGTAACACATCTTTCCTTATCCATGTAACAGGCTACGTTGACCGCCATTCATGTACAGTTCGTCATCAGCATGCATCACCGTCCATGCTACCATAATTTGAAACGGGGCGGGGCCAGCTCGACCGGGTCAAAGACATGCCGCGCGGGTAACTCCGGTGGGCTGAGAATGCTCGGAAGACGAACTTTGGGTTGCCGAATCCGTCTACGGGTCGTCAGCCTGGCACGCACGGCACGGGCAGCGAGCAGGCCTGGCCCAGGTCCGGTCCAGATGTCCTCGGAGCTCCCACACGTCATGCAGACGGTTTATCTCCGCCACGCCCATTGGCGATGCTTCGCCCAATGCGCCGTGTCTCATTCCGCTCTCCCAGCAAGCACCTCTCCTCCCCCCAGCCCCTCACAGCTGTAAGATGCTAGTTGCATAACTGGGCGGCCGCGCCGCGTGCTCGTGGTGATCTACATCTTCATTTCGTACATGCCGTCCGGGGGCCGGACGGGCACCTTCTCTATCTGTCAGCGGCTGGCCGGACCGAGAACGGCCGCTGCGCGGTCCCGATGATGCGAGCGCCACAAGGGGAGCGATCAGATGCACGTGCCGCACATGGCATGTCTCACGCTGCCGCTGTGGCGCCAGGTCACTCACCCTTGCCGACGGAGCTCCAGTCTGTGCTGAGCGCCGTCCCGCCGCTCTCGGTGAAGCTCTTGATCATGGCGCGGCGCGTGTCGGCGTCGGCGTTGGCGTAGATGCCCGCGAAGAGCTTCTGCAGCGCCGCATCACCGCCGGCGTCCCCAGCCGGTTCCCGCTCGTCGTCGAGCTCGGAGAGCACGGCGTCCCAGTTCTTCTTGGGCTTGGCCTCTGGCCGCGTGCGGGCCGTCAAGGGAGAGGGGAGGGACACGGGCGGCGCGGGCGGCGGAGAGGTGTATGCCCGCGCTGCTGATGGGTCGACGGGCGAGGTCGCGAACAGCGCCGGCCAGGTGATGCCGGGCTGGTCTTTGAGCAGGCGCAGCTCGATCTGGCGTCAGAATCCGTCGACGAGCGCTCAAGGACAGGGAGGCAGGAGACAGGATAGGACACCAGAAGCATTGCAAGAAGGGCACAAGGCCGTGGGATCATCCGATGATGCAAAGCAGAACGGGGCGGCCCCGCAACTGATAGGGGATTGGAATCGAGGGTGGACGGCGAAACGCATGGGGTAGGTCGGCATCTAGCACCGCTTCCCCTGGCACATGCACGCGAACGCGGAAGATAGCGAAGAGAGCGGGCGCCAGCAAGTCCTCGTGCTGCAGCTGGAGAGGAGTTTGGGGGTTCGTGGGAGGAAAAGGCGAGAAGCACAACGGAGGGACGGAGAGGCGGCGGCGAGCGCGATGAGCGGTGGTGTCGCGCGAGCTAGTGCCTGCCGATCGGCCTCGGCCCAGCTAGCGTAGGGACGGTGGCAATGTGCAATTCAAGAGCAGTCCGAGCACCGCCGAAAGTGCTGCAGATAGGTCGGACGGGACAGCTCCACTCACTTTGGTACTAAGAACGCGCTCCGAGCACTCGCCGGGGATGATTGCGCCGGCCAGCGGCCCCAGACTGAACTCCCTCGCCTCCGATCCAGGAATTGCTGGTAGCGACACGTCGATGTGGTGCGTGTGATAGCAGACGGAGACGGGTGTGCCAGCATATCCCTTGACGTAGAGGGAAACAGTGAGACTGCTGGGCGTCTGAAAAAAGTCGTGCCGCGGCGGCGGAGATAGCGCCGTCATGGTGATCAGATGCGGACGGGGTACGAGTTGGTTGGGTGTGAGGAGAGCCTACCCCTACGGCGGAGGCGATGAAAGGATGGCTCGGACTGATGGCCTGCGCTGCCGCTGCGACGACGAGGAGAGATGGAAGAAGGAGGAGTAGAGGAGGGAGGAGGAAACGAGAAGAGAGAGTGATGGAAGATGCAAGTGCAAGATGTCAAAGTGATGGTGCGGAGGTCAATAACGGGGGCAGATGCAGGCGGCGTGGGATTCGGAGCGGCCCGACCGGTCCAGACTTAGACTTTCGCCACCCATCAAGCCACTAAACAGGACGCCGCATCTCATTTCAGATCCATACCGAGTCTGATGGGAAAGGAAAGACGGCCGGACCAGCGAGCGGGCCAGGCCCGCACGTCTCTGTAACCGGTAAACGCGGCATGGTGGGGGAGACAGAGGCATGCTGAGTAACTGCGTCGCATTGCAACAACAAACAACCCCAGGATTCCTCCACTGGACGGCCGAAACGGCGGCGGTACGGGGCCTGGCTTCAGGACCGAGGTCTGCGGAGTCGTCGTCAGGTCGGGCACTTGGAATACAAGCTGGGAGATGGGAAACTGACAGGCATGGCATGGCATGGCATGGCAGGGCGTGCGTACGCAATACGCTTCTGGATCGCTCTTATCGCTGGGAAACGGCGTGACTCCGCATCGCATGTCGTCTTGTTTGCATTTGCGCGTGTGATAAGGCGCGGTGCTTCATTCCTCCTCATTCTTCCTAACACCAACGTACGCATGATTGACTTTGCGCACCTCGCGCAAGCGGGGCATTAGTCCGCAGACCAATACATGCCAAGATTCCAAGGAATCCTCCACTTGGCCAGCGCGGCGCGTGGCGCCGAAGCGTCTGGTCACAGCCTGAACTGACCCACGTACGACATCAGCATGGAAAGGCGCGCCCCCGCTGTTCCGGCACACGTCAGGAGAGTCATGTGTTGATCTTGCTGATCGACGACCCTCGCCTCAACTCAGCGTGCCGTCTCCGTGCCGATATCTCACACCCACGCTCACCGTCGTCCGCCACCCTCGTTCCCAGCACCACCCTCTTTCCCGACGCCCCTCGATCCGCCTTGCGCCCACGACAACCCTCCACATTTCAGTCGCGTGTCGATATTGGCAGTCCGCCATGCATTTCTAGGCCTAGATGCGGATAGAGTCTTTCGTCAGCTCGCCCACAACCTCGTAACTCACCCGCTTTGGCAAGCTTCTGAACGTCCTGCTCGACGCCCCAGACGTGAGCACGCAGGTCGAGGAGCTCGAGGTGGAGGCCATCCTAAGGTCAGCGCTGGCAAAGGGGTCGGAATCAAGCGGTGCGCTCGTAGTCCTCGATCGATTGTGACTTTCGTTCGCCTCTCCATCACACCCCTCTCTGACGGCCTTCCGGTTCGCTCTCTTAAAACCGGCCAGCTTCTTTCCTTTTCTCCAGCCAACATGTCCGCCTTGCCCAACGCGACTTACGTAGACCTTCTTCATCTCACCGCGGACCTTGCCCACGTCCTCCTTCTGCGGAACCGCGGCCTTGAGCGCCGCCAAGTCCTTCTCGACGGTCTGCAGGCGGTCAAGGTGCGAAGTGATCTTGGCAGTCGAGCCCTGCAGCTCATCGACGCTCGCCATCAAGAGCCCGGTCGCGATCTTGCTGTCCTGCTGAATGTAGTACACGCCGAGGGCAGTTGCTGCCGAAAAGCCGAGAAGCTGTTATTAGCAGGCGCGGGCTAAGGAAATGCAGTTCAGTTCTCCGAGAAAGGCGCTCGCATGACAGCAGGCGCCATCCCAGTTGTGAACTTACGAATCCGAAGATGCTGCTGTTAGCTCCGTCATGCAGCAAACTCACCCGCCACTACAGGAGCGAATCATAGTCATAGAACAGGCGCACAGTTACGCCAGGAAGGAAGCGTCAGCACCGAAACACATGGAGGAGGGAGGTGGTTGCTTGAGGTCGGGACCCACCGGAAACCGCCGACCGGCTTTTGCACGGGGACCTCGCTGACAACGCCCTGGACGTTCACGGCGGGGGGCGCGGTCTCGGCGAGGCGCCGGGCCGACGAGTGGATGGCGCGGCGCGTGCCGGCGGCGAACAGGCGAGCGGGGGCGGACATGTTGAGAGGTGGGTGGTTGCAAAACGGGCCAATGGAAGCGTCATCCTTGGCTCAATGTGGAGGTTTCGTCGAAGTCTCGGGATGCCTCGAACAGCGTTCCACCGAGGTTGAGCCATCGCAAGGCGATCCGATGCATTTGATACAGAGCAACAACGGGACGACTGCCAGGCTAGACCCTTGACTATGAATGCTTGGTTTGAAGAACTCAAGCCAGACGCTGACCGGGGCGCGGCGAGCGCTTGCCCCAGCACCGTCTCTTGTATTATCGTTCCGCCTGGCACATGCCCAGGGTTGCGATGACCTCGGTCCCCCCGTCGCTACTCTCCTAGATCAGCCATCTGCCTCCCTTCGGATCGTTGCAGTCCAACCGCTGCGAGGCGGGAGGGCAACCGGAGAAAAGTCACCCCTCCCTCGCCGCGATTCGAACGCACGAGCCATTGTATTTCCGCGAGTTCCGACATCTTGTGGCAAGCGGGTGAAGGGCGTGTCAGCGGGATCTAATATTCTGGCGACCACGCGTCGCGGTGGAGATGTTCGTTGACGTTCGCGACGCTCACCACCACATTCCCCTTCCACGCCATTCTTCAGTCCTCCTTCGCCGACAACGACCACAACAGTCACGCCGGCTACTTCAGGACGCCTTGACATCTTCTCGCACCACACTCCCCCGTTTGATCCGCGCGTGCGCGTAATCTAGTTCAACTGCGAGCTCCTTCTCTTCACCCACCCCCCACCCCTCAACCCAAAAGTCCACGATGGCGATGCCAGGAGGAATGCCCATGGTGGTTATGAGTACGTTTGCCAAGGAGATTATGAGATTGTCTGACCGAAGACACCGGGCCTGAGCGCCAGCAGGGCCGCAAGGCGCAGACGGCCAACATTGTCGCCGCCAAGGTGAGTTGATGACACTTGGACGGGCAGCTGATCCCAGACCGTCGCCGACGTGATCCGGACATGTCTCGGGCCCAAGGCCATGCTCAAGATGGTTCTTGACCCCATGGGTGGCATTTTGCTCACGAACGACGGCCACGCGATCCTGCGCGAGATCGATGTCGCGCACCCCGCCGCCAAGTCGATGATCGAGCTGTCGCGCACGCAGGACGAGGAGGTCGGTGACGGCACAACGTCGGTCATCATTATCGCCGGCGAGATCCTCGCATACTCGCTTCCCCTTCTCGAGCGCCACATCCACCCCGTCGTCATCATCCGGGCGTTCAAGGGCGCTCTTGAGGAGGCGCTGGAGACGATCAAGGCCGTTTCGGTGCCCGTTGACGTGTCGTCCGAGAAGGACATGCTTGCGATCATCAAGACGTCGATCGGCACCAAGTTCGTGTCCCGCTGGTCCGACCTCATGTGCCACCTCGCCCTTGACGCTGTCAAGACCGTGGCCGTCACCGCAGAGGCTGAGAACGGACTCGTGGGTGCGGGTGTGGGAGGCAAGGAGCTCAACATCAAGACGATCGACATTAAGCGCTACGCGCGTGTTGAGAAGGTGCCCGGTGGCGAGATCGAGGAGTCGCGCGTGCTCAAGGGTGTCATGGTCAACAAGGACGTGACGCACCCGAAGATGCGCAGGCGGATTGAGAACCCACGTATCATCCTACTTGACTGCCCCCTCGAGTACAAGAAGGGCGAGTCGCAGACCAACATCGAAATTTCCAAGGAGGAGGACTGGAACCGCATTCTCCAGATCGAGGAGGAGCAGATCAAGGCTATGTGCGACAAGATTGCCGAGTTCAAGCCCGACATTGTCTTCACTGAGAAGGGTGTGTCGGACCTGGCCCAGCACTACTTCCTCAAGGCCGACCCGCCCATCACCGCCATCCGCCGCGTGAGGAAATCGGACAACAACCGTATCGCGCGTGCGGTCGGCGCAACGATCGTCAACCGTGTCGAGGACATCCGCGACACCGACGTCGGCACAGGCTGCGGACTGTTCCACATTGAGAAGCTCGGCGACGAGTACTTCACCTTCTTGGAGGAGTGTGTCTCGCCCAAGGCGTGCACGATTCTGCTCCGCGGCCCATCCAAGGACATCCTCAACGAGATCGACCGCAACCTTGCGGACGCGATGAGCGTGGCGCGTAACGTCGTCTTCAACCCCATCCTTGCCCCTGGCGGTGGAGCAACCGAGATGGCCATCAGCGTCGCCCTCGAGAACAAGGCCAAGACGCTTCCGGGTGTCGCTGGCGCGCCCTACAAGGCCATTGCTGATGCGCTCGAGGTCATCCCCCGCACGCTCGTGCAGAACTGTGGTGGCAATGCGATCCGCGCTCTTACCGAGCTGCGCGCCAAGCACGCCGCCGGCGAGAACATGTATGGCATCGACGGCGACACGGGCAAGGTCGTCGACATGCGCAAGTACGGCCTGCTTGAGAGCGCAAGCGTCAAGATCCAGACTCTCAAGACGGCCATCGAAAGCGCAACGCTCCTCCTGCGCGTCGACGACATCGTCTCGGCCCGCAGGCCTGACCAGCAGCGCGGCGCGGTCCAGACTATGGGCGAGGGGCAGGCGGAGGACCTTCAGCCCGACGGACCGCAGATGTAAGCGGCGCGCAGATGTAGGCTGGGGAGATCATTGCATTGCTGGTATTCTCGTATGCAGGTATAGAGCGAAGCTGTCTGCGCCGATTCGACTCCCGAACTGATGAACGGCTGACCGTGCATCCTCCTACTCACTACCACCCCTTCCACGGCACCCAAACATCGACGACCTCGTCGCCCCCACCCGCCACGATATAGAACCACGGGTGGCAAGCGCACGCAAGACACGCGTGCTGCGGCACAATACGCACTTTCTCGCCGATTTCGATCTCGCGAGCCCCCTCACCCTTGACCAGAACGCCGTGCTCCTGGCTAACCCGCCCAAGACTCCACCCCTCATGCCCCTTGCTCACAACACGCCCGAACCCCGGCGTCGGCCCCTGGTCCTTACTGACCGCGAGCGCGCCGCAGTCGGTGAGGACCTCGCCGCGCTCGGCATACTTCCCCACAACGGTGGCGAGGACGGAGAGCGCGAGCCCGCCCTCGCGCACAAGGCCCGTGGCGGCCTGCTGCAAGTCGTTGAGGCAGTAGCAGCCGGCATGCAGCTCGAGGGTGCCGTTGAGCCCGCCGGGCGTGGCGGCGCCGAGGGCGGCGGCGTGCGCCGTCGGCGTCGCGCCGACACTCAGCACCCAGTCTCCGCCGAGGCCGAGCTCGCGCGCGCGCCCCGCCGCGTCGTTGACGCACGCAATCTCGCCCGCGTAGTACTCGCCCGCTTGGTCGAGCGAGCGCGCGGCGTACGAGTGCCCGAAGTCTGCCGTCAGCGCCTCGGCGAGAGGGCGAGCACGCACGGGAGTAGAACCCATACACCTCCACCGCCTTCTCGGCTTTGACGGCTTGCAGGAGCGCATCCATCTGCGCCGAGCGCGGCGGGGCGCCCGCGCGCCGCCCCCCGCCGTCGACTTTGATGAAGACGGACCACGGCGCCCGGCGGCCCAGCCGCTTCGCCGCCGCCGCGAGGTGTGCGATCTGCTCCGCGTTATCGACCATGACCCGGATCACGGTGCGGCCCGCCTTCTCCTGCGCGGCGTTCACGTCCTCCATCCGGTCAGAGGAGATGGGGAGGGAGTAGAGGATCTGCCGTCAACCCTGCCACGCGACGCCGTACGTCGTCCACCTCGATACCGGCCTCGAGCACACCCCACACCTCCGGCATGGTGGAGGTCACGAGCGAGCGCGCGCCGCCGGCTACCTGCAGGCGCGTGCCCTCTGGCGTCTTGTGGGCTGGTGTCAGCGGGGTCGAGGAGGGGAGTGGCGATGGCGGAGGAGGGGTCACGACGCCGACGTACTCTTGATGTGTGCACGGAAACGCAGTCCCAGCGCATCGACCTTAGCCCCCATCTGCGCACAGTTCTCCTTGAACGCGACGCGGTCAATAAGCAGCGCCGGGGTGCGCAACGACGACAGGGGGCGGCCAACAAACTCGTCTCGCAGCGCCGAGACAAGGGGAAGGCGCATGAGCTCCAGAGGTGTGAAGGACGAGGTGTTCGCCATGGCGTGCAGAGTCTTTAGAGTTGAGACGATTGTTACAATGCTTGAGCGAGCACTCGTGGTGGGTGGGCATGTGTCCATGGGCTGTCGGTGGAATGCCGCTGCCACCCGCCGCCCCACAGCTAAGAGATGATTTCAGCAAGTTGCCATGATCACCACACCGCCTCTAGTCACACTTGGATTGAGCTAGGTATCAACTTGACGCCCATCACTGGCGAGGAGAGCGCACAGGAGGCAAAAGCAACCTCAAACAGAAGTCAAAAATGATCACCGATCCCTGTGCGACTTGAACACACGACCGTCAGGACACTCCTAGAAGGAATTATTCCGAATTGGAATCTGACACTCTACCAACTGAGTTAAGGGATCTGTTGATGATCATGTTTGCAACACGAAACACGCGTATAAGTACGGCAATTGGGAAGCGTAGAATGTTTGCCCAGGAGAGTGGTGACTGCTGCGGAAGGTTCAGGCTCACGCAGAGAAGAGGTGTTGATGTCGATTTCCGGACGGCGAGTTGTTTCGCAAGGCTTCTTTGGACTCCCGTTTACATGGACATCGCCAAGCCTCCGCTCGTTCTCCTCTCGATGCGCGACTTCATGTTCTCATTGGCACCACTTGGAGTGTCGCTCTTCGCTCATCGGGATCTATCATGTGAATCAACAAGGATGAAGCTGCTCAGTCGCGTCGTGCATGAGTATCAGTGGCCGCGTGCCGTGAGGCTGAAGGAGAGAAGAAGGAGTCAGGGTGCATGCACCACACATGCACTAGGCCCACGCAACTTTGCATCTGCACTACTTCTTCTTCTTCTTCTTCCCGCCCTGCACGACGAGATCTCCCCCGACACCGGCCTCGCCACCCCCCTCTTGAATCTTAAGCCCCGCATCGAGGGTGAACATGAGGTCCCGTACCGTCTCATTCAACGAGTCGACCTCTGCTGCCTTCGCGTCGCGCGCAGCACGTACTGCCTCGAGGTCCTTCTGGAGCTTGGCGATGCGGCTCTGAAGACCACTAGACATTGACCTCTCCGAGCCGAGATTGTTCTGGAGGGAGCGCGAGAGGTCGAGGGCTTTCTCGGCCCTGCGCTCCGCCTTCTCCCGCGCGGCTTCGGCGTCAAGGCGTGCCCTCTCCGCAGCTTCACGCGCTTCTTCCGCGGATTTTGTGCGCGCCGCTGCCGCTTCCAGCTCTTCGAGGCGGGCGCGGGTAGCCGCTGCTTCCGACTCGTAGTGCTGCCGCATCGCCTCGAGCTGACTGCTCAAGAGGTAGGAGTACTCGAGCGTGATGGACTCGATCGTGCTCATCTTCTCCGCGTCGCCTTCAGAAGGTCCTTGCGAGCGTGCATGTCCCTCGCTCGACTGGCTGCGGGGCGATGAGTCATCTACATCAAGCGGGCGATTTAATGGGAGTCGCCGAGGGGGGCGCCCCGAATCCTGATGCGCCATGGCCGCAAGCGAGGACGCCGAGGGGAGCTCAACGAGCTTGCCGTCCATCCGAGACTGAATGAGGCGGTGAACATAGTTGTCGCCGCGGTAGTCCCACACGCGTTGAGTTTCGAGCTCCATTGCGAGCTGGTGCCCCGTGTCCTTCCAGTGCCGGCGAGCGTGGCCCTTCGAGTAGCGCCCGCAGCCTACTGAGCCGCATACGACACAGATCCATGAATCGTCAGTCGAGTCGCACATTCCGCAGCGTGCGAGTTCGACGTTCTCACTGCCGCCGCGCGGCCCGGGAGTTATCTGCTTCTGCGCGCTGGAGAGAAGCAGATGACTGACGCGGCAAACGGGGCAGCGTGAGTCCCCCCACTTTCTCAGGCAATCGCAGTCGAACGTATGTGCGCACGGCAGCGTCACGAGCCCAGTGACACTCGAATCGAGGCGCTCGAGACAGACTGGGCAAGAAGGAAGTTCGACTTTCCGATCCTTCGGCACACCCGAGAGAAGTTCGGGGAGTGCGGCAGCTCGCGACGCGTACACGGTTGGAGGGAAGGCGGGGATGGCGACGTCGGCGCGCTTGTCCTCGAGCCGATGGAGAACAAGGTGGTGTACGCGGATGGCGTGGCATGTCTCCCGCGTGTCGAGGGTTGAGAAGGCTCGACCTGTGAAGATTACCATAAAGTCCGAAGCTTGGCTCGACTCGCGGAACTTGAGGAGCACGATAGAGCGATTAGGGGTTGTTGCCTCGCGGATCATGCGCACGCCCTCCAGGCATGTAACCCAGCCCCCGAGAAATTCGAGAAGGTCGGCGGGACGCATCCAAGCGGGGACGGCGAGGATAGCGACTAGGCTTCCGTCCTCGCCCTCGGCATGCTCGCCAGCATAACCTTCCTGACGCTGAGAACTCTCGCCGTTCTGTCCCTCCAAGCGGGCAACAAGGGAGGCTGGCGGCGCGTGGCGGAACAGATGAACGACACCATTGCCGACATGCGTTATGCCCGATGACGTGCTTGCTGCGACGGGATTAGGACCTGGTATGTGTGCGAGGAGTGGTTGCAGACTGAGGGCGTCTGGTGTCTCGGGCACGTCGGAGGTTGGGCGTGACTCTCGTTTGCGGCGAGGTTTGGTGCGCGGTTTGGCGGGACTGCTGTGGGTACTGGGCATGGCGCTCGAAGATTGAGCGGAGCTGCCGTTACTCGGCAATGCGCCAGGAATAGGACGGGTCAAGGAGGAGTTGTGGGAGGAGGAAGAGGCTGGAGGGCTAACGACGCGATCGTTGTGACTCTTGTCGCGTGTAAAGTCGATCCAATCGACTGTGATGTCGCCCAGGCGCCAGTCTTGATCTGGCTGATCTGGAGTTTCGTTGTTGGGGTGGACGGCGATGATCAGCGAGTATATGTCGCTGGACATGGCGCGCTGGAAGCTCAAATGGCCATTCTATTCCCAGAGACTCTATAGATCGAGCAGTAGAGTGATATCGAGGACGAAAGTCGAGAAAGCGCGAACGGTGAGAGTGTGAGAGGAAGGTGGTTGCGATGTGTCTGTGCTGTGCTAAGCTGATCGCTGACGACGGCTCGAGAAGTTGGGTGGCAACGGAACTAAATAGCCCGGTGGAGGTGGTCCACACCCAACCTCATCTCGTCAATGGCAACACAATGCTCGTGTGAACATCCTCGCCTGAGCTTGCAGAGTCGCATAGAAGCGCAGGGGGACAAAGTTGGAGCATAGTGCAAGTGTTCGTGGACAATGTTCACCCTCGGGCCAATGGAGAGAGCAGGAGCTACGCAATGGATGCTATGAGCAATCGTTGGCGGTGGTCAACATCGCTACTCGCATGTGATACAGGCTGCCTGTGAGCGCTAATTCGCTAAGCCTTGTCTTGAGCACCGAGTGTGTATTGCATGGAGTGTGGGAGAAACAAGTGCTTCGCGCAAATCCAGCCAGAACCACTGCCGGTTTTGAACATCTCCCTCGTGTCCTGAAGACAAGATACTAGATATGCATACTATGACAACATGTGTTCTTACGGCTATACGGCTACAGGACTATTCAATGTCCATTGCGTCGTCGTTCTGCTCCCACTGCTGCGCGATGTCGTCGCCCCACTGATTTCCGCTCGGCTCGGTGGACATGTCCTCGTCATCGTCGACCTCTTCGAAACGCCCCGGCTCCTCATCCCACTGCTTGACGACATGCTCGGCAGGGGGAATGCCGAGGGGGCGATAGAGAACGAGTCCTCGCTCAGGTACAGCATTGTAAGCGGGGGTGAACTGGTCGCTCTGCGCCGCCATGAGATGCGTAAGGAGGGAGGGCGAGATCGTGAAGCCATCCGCGCCCGGCTGCGTGAGGTGTTTGTGCTCTTCGAAGGAGTATGGACGCCTTGGTCCTGGGTCGGGGCTCGGTGAGCGAGAGGAAGGCTCCGGGCTTGAGAGCGAGGTCACCACAATGCGATCCTTCTCCGGCTCATACCAGCCTGGACCGGAGGCGATATTGGGCGGGTCCATTGCCACGTCCTCATCAACATGGAATCTGTGACGCTTGGATGCATGTGGCCTTTCGTCGTCAAGCCGTAGATGCTTTCTTTTGAGGGGAGACTCGAACTCGACGGTCGGTGTGTCGTGGGCGTGAGGATCGCGAGCTGAGGCGTCGTGTGGATGCTCGATGCTCGTGGGCTGCATAGGGTGTTGTAGCCTACGCAGACGCTCTCGTTCGAGTGGGGGACGGAAAGTCACGTCACTTTCGTATTCTTCCTCGCTTGGAGAGGTGGAAGAGGAGGAGAGGCGGTGAGGGAACGTTGGTCGCCTGGCCGACGTCGGCGACGGATGTTTATCGGAAAGCACTTCAACGGCCACGTCGCCGTCCAGTGGTGGGCGGGTGGGCTCTAGTTCGTCCTCCGAGCTTTCGTTGCCCTGCGGGAACTGCTGTGCCTCGGGCCGCGGTGAGATCGACATTGTTGCGAATCCATTGTGGAGGTTTGGCCGACGACGCTTTTGTTCTGGTGGCGACCATTGCGATTCGGGCGAGGAGGCGCGACGCTTACGCGCGGCGAATGATGGACTTGCAGTGTAGGGTGCTGGCGTTGGAGCGAAGAGCGGTTGCTGATTGCTGAAGCCTTGGGCAGGCCAGGCCGATCCGCAATGTCCGCTCATGTCGTGCGAGCAATTGAGGGGTGGCGCCGGGCGCTCGTGGCCGACGCAGTCAGTAGTATGGTTTGAATGAAGGAAAGAGAAGGGAAGAGCAGAGGGGTGCGAGTTATGAGTGTGTCGATGGCATTGATGAGGATGAGAAAGGAGGATGGTGCAGCGACGGCAGTGTTACAGTTGACGACTACCAAGGCCTGGTCGACCGAGCTCAAGCTCAAGCTCCGCCTCTCTCCAAGTCTCCATCGCGTTCGAGAACACTCGCACTCCGCTCCTAATGTCCATTTGCTTCCGCTTGGATTACCCTCCCTCGCCACGCGGTCCACGTGGATTCAGGTGGAACGCGTGACGTCATTTAATCAAGTGCCCGGTTGATCGGGACGTGTCTGAGCTGAGCTTTGGAGGGGGAGGAAATATAGCGGAATCAAATTCAAGAGTAGGACACGTGAGGGCTGGCTCCGGGCTGTGTCGGACGGAGTGTTGTTGGCCGCTCGCTCGCCCAGTTGGCTGAGGCCTCCTGGGTGGGGTGGATGGATTGTCTCCTCCAAACGACCTCTCCTGTCTTTCTCTCGCCTCCTTCTTCCACTCCTCCTCCCCTCCCTCCTCGTCCTCATCCTCCTCGCCACTTCGCCTCCCATCTCTTTCTCTTTCGCTTTTGTTTAATCGCATCTCTCGCTGCAAGGTCACCATCGCCACAACCTCCCATCACCCTCCTGTCACCCCTTATCGCCAGCTCGGAGCGCACCAAAAAACCCAGTCGTGTGACGCCCCAAGCTCATCCACGAAATCTCATTTCCTCGCCGTTACGATGGTCGTCACCCCGAACGTGCACGCGCTCGACCCTCAGACGCCCATCTCTCCGCTCCTCAGCGCGCAGCGTACCCCTCAGAGCCCAGCGATGAGTGCGCAGGGCTCAGGCTCCATCCCCCGCCCGGTGCTCCGCAAGGGCTCGACGGGGAGCTTCTCCAAGCTCGCCGACTTTTGGCTGGACGGCTCCCCATCTGTGCCCGGCACCCCGCAAGAGGGCCTCTCCATTGTCAAGGGCATCCCGCACGTCGACCTCAGCATCGATGCTAGGTGAGCATTATTTCTCCCGATCTCCCAACGCCTTCGCCAAAAGTCTGTGGCGCAAAGTGATCGGCAAGATCCGCCGCCACCCGCATACCCGACCGCACCCCACTAACGTCCAGCCAGTGGCGCCACCCCGTCTTCAAGCAGAAGGTGCTCGGCATCCTGCGCCGTCTGAACGTGCCCCGCTGGACGCACCCGAGCCTCAAGGGGTCGAGCATTCATCTTCAGAAGGTGTCGGGCGCGCTCACCAACGCCGTCTTCTTTGTCTCGTTCAACCCCAACCCTGAGCCGACGAGCCCCAGCATGTCCCCCATGCTCACTCCCACGATGCCCCCGAGCGACCCGGACCGCCCTCCTCAGATTGTTCCGGGAGAGTTCCCCCAGACCTTGCTGCTCCGTGTATACGGCGTGTCGTCCGACCAGCTGATTTCGCGCGACGAGGAGCTGCGTATCCTGCACGTCCTGAGCGAGACCTACGGTCTCGGGCCACGGATGTACGGAACCTTCGGGAACGGGCGCGTTGAGCAGTTCTTCCCCTCGCGCGCCCTCGTGCCGGACGAGCTGCGCCAGCCGCTTATTGCGCGCGGTATCGCGCGCCGCATGCGCGAGCTCCACTCTGTCGACCTTCGCCTCCTCGGGTACAAGCAAGGCAAGGAGACCGAGCCGTACTGCTGGAAGTGTGTGAACGACTGGGTTGAGCCTGCCCAGGAGATCCTCTCGGCGCTCGAGGGCATTGGAGGGAAGTGGGAGGTGTGGGTCGCCCAGTACGGCCTGCACAAGTTCCGCGAGGAGCTCGAGGCCTACCGCAATTGGGTGACGGCGCAGCCTACCAAGGGCAAGGGCGTGGTGTTCTCTCACAACGACACGCAGTACGGCAATCTCCTGCTTCTGGATGCCGAGATTCCACCCGGTGTGCCCCCTCACCACAAGTACATTGTGATCGACTTTGAGTATGCCGCACCCAACTGCCGTGGCTACGACATCGCGAACCACTTCCACGAGTGGCGCGCCAACTACCACGACCCTGTGGCGCCGCACCTTCTCCACGGCCACGGCGACTACCCGACCCTCGAGCAGCGCGAGGACTGGTACCGCGCGTACTTGAGTGTGCAGATGTCGCAGGGCGAGGAGACGTTGTGCAAGCGTGCCGAGATTGCCCAGGAGCGCGTCGACGCCCTCGAGCGCGAAGTGCGCATCTGGAGCCCGGCATGCGCGGCCATGTGGAGCTTGTGGGGCATCATCTCGGCCGAGGAGCAGGTGCGCACGTACGTCGCCAACCCCGACGCGAAGGACGAGCTCGAGTTCGACTACCTCGAGTACGCGCTTGAGCGCCGCAAGATGTTCATCGACGAGGTCAAGACGCTTGGCGTGCCGCTTTAAGCGCTGCGGCGCGAGGGCAAAGATGGACGAGAGCCACGACGGGCTATTGACGGAACCCCTGCGCTCGCCTGGGACGGGCGGGCGCACACGACCGTGCACATCACTGTGCACATGCACGCTCAACGCGTGCCAAGCCTGTATCAAGCGTATCTTGTTCGGGTACCTAGACCTAGTGTCGCCATCACCTGGCGGCGTAATTTGTAGGCTGTGATCTCGGCGCATGTGTGATACACGCGTGCCTCACGGGCGTTGGGAGATCCATACACCAAAAACATTTATATAGATCGTACGACTGGTATGTATCATTCTGGGCACTGAAGATGGGCTGGGCGGAAGGAAGCGATGCTGTCAGTTCTGTGCAAGGTGACGAGCGTGCAGGGAGTGGAGGCTTTCGCCTCCTGCTCTATGAGCTGCGAGTCCATAACGACACGATACCTACGCACCTCTCTCCCCGTCGCTCGCTGCAGTAACCGAAAACAATGCTGCATGCAGAGCAACTAGTCTTATCTATACAACAGTCTACGCGGTCTGGAGGCGGGCGACGGCAGGGTTTTCGGCCTGGGCGCCGTTAGCAGCGAGCTTCTCGCGGCGGGTGATGGACGCGGCGTTGAGCTCGTCGAGGGTCTTGACGGTGGCCTCCCAGTCGATGCACGCGTCGGTGATGGAGACGCCGTACTTCATCTGGTCGCGGGGCTGGTCCGAGCTCTGCTTGCCCTCGTTAAGGTTGGACTCGATCATGACGCCCGTGATGCCAAGCTCGCCGGCAGCGACCTGCTTGGCGACCTCGGCGGCGACCTTGGGCTGATTCCGGTGGTCCTTGTTGCTGTTGCCGTGCGAGCAGTCGACCATGATGGACGCGTGGTCCTCGGGGTTCTTCTTCTTCATGGCGGCCAGTGCGGACTGGACGCTCGCCTCGTCAAAGTTGGGGCCGTGCGAGCCGCCGCGCAGGATGACGTGCACGTCACGGTTGCCCGACGTCTTGACGATGGCAGCCGAGCCCTGGCTGTTGATGCCGAGGAATCTGTGCGGGTGCGACGCCGACTGCATCGCGTCAATGGCGACGGTGACGCCGCCGTCGGTCCCGTTCTTGAAGCCGACGGGGAACGAGACACCGGACGCAAGCTCGCGGTGCAGCTGCGACTCGGTGGTGCGGGCCCCGATAGCACCCCACGTCACGAGGTCGCCGATGAACTGAGGAGAGATGGTGTCGAGGAGCTCACAGCCGACGGGCAAGCCCATCTCGAGGATAGCGCAGAGGAGCTTGCGCCCGATACGGAGACCCTTGTTGATCTGGAAGGTGTTGTCAAGGTCGGGGTCGTTAATCAGACCCTTCCAGCCAACGGTGGTGCGGGGCTTCTCGAAGTAGACGCGCATGACAACCTCGAGGCCGGGCCAGCGGCCCTCCTGCACGGCGCCGCGGAGGAGCTTGGCGTACTCGAGCGCCTGCTCGGGGTCGTGGATCGAGCATGGGCCCACGACAACGAGGAGGCGGTCGAGCGGGTCGCGGCCGCGGACAATCTGCGACGCAGTGCGGCGGGCCGCCGCGACCGTCTTGGCCGCCGTGGGAGGAATGGGGATCTCGTGACGGAGAAGGTCAGGCGAGATCAGCGGGTCGTACTGAAGTTAGCGGGGGAGCGGGGAGCGGGCTGGAAGCTGCAGCAGAGCTGGCGGAGTGAGTGCGCCCGTTGGCCAGCGGACGATGTCGGATGGCCTGGGTGGTGAAAAGTGTTCAGAGGGATGCCCTTTGAGTGGACCGCGTTGCCCGCCCGGCGGGCAAGAAAAGTTGGGAGTTCCGCCAGCTTCGAAACTCGGTCTACTCACGCCCGTGACCTTGTCGTCGTCGAGGGGGCGGGTGCGGTCGGGGGATGCGGCAGCGACGGGCATGATTGCGCTTTTTGGGAGTTGAGAGGAGTAAGTATGGAGAATGGAGAGATGACTAGTCGGAGGGAGTCGAGGGAGGATTCGTTTGCCGCTCCGAGTCGATATCTGGCCCTCCTTTTGTTAGAACGTGGTTGGACAGCGCGACTCGCTTTCCCCACGGGGGATCAGTCGGATTGGTTTTTTTTTTCTCGAACGTGACTAGTTCCAGATTCTGTAATGTCTCTGGAGATCTCAGATGCATCGAAGAGAAACCATAGGACGCGAGTGGCACAGCGAATATAAGACGGACCGAGTTGCAACGAGTATATGTAGATTACGCGTCAATAAACGTCTGGCAGTGGCGTGATACCGGCCCGGCAAGCTCCCGCACCCGTCTTGTTAACTTGCCGACTCCTCGGCAATGTGGCCCGCAGCAGGTGGGGGGTCGACATGATTGCGGGGGGGGGGAGGGGCGAGGGCGTGAACAGCTGCGCGATAGCATATAGCAAACCACGGCCCGCATAGATTGCAGCACGCGTCCACTCCGGTTGATGCCCAGACCGAGGCGCAGCAAGTCTCGGCGAAGCGAACGCCCCTTCGACCCTGGCCCATGCCGGGCGCCGACCCACGCGGCGGACGATGGCTCGGCGCCGCGGGTGAGTCGGTCCGTTGCCACGCAGTCAAGGTCTACATCAGTCATGCACGGCGAGTTGACGCCGCGCCGTTCGCATGCGATCTCGGTTGCGTTCGACCCAACTCTGGCTCCGTGTAGGAATGAGAGATCGGAAAAGATCCTTCGGCTTACCGGCTCGGGCGTACCTCTTTCTCGGACGAGCTAGAGATGCTTGTACATGGAACGAGCTGTACTGCTGCTGGGCAGGGGAGCAATGCCAAGGCGCGCGAGGCGCCTCTGCTGATCGATGGGCTCATGGGCTCAGAACACGCAGACACGCAGACACGCAGACACGCGGGACACGCGGGGCGAGCGGGCCTAACCACATCGCCACGTACGGCTGCCCGGCTGATGGTCACCGGTACACCGATACCCAGGAAATAATTTCCAGTGGCAAAACGCGTCTACTATGCAGGCGGCTGTGCGGAAGCAGGGAGCAAGGAGACGAGAGCGAGATCGCGAAGAGAGATGCAGTGGACCCACGGTGGGCCCACGACCGGCGCAGGGTGGTGACGCAGGTGATCGATCAGGTGACGTTGCGCAGGGTGAGTACCGCGACGCCGCCTCGCCAGGCCGCCTCCCGCCAGATTTCATCAATCTTCGAGCAGCTTGGAGCTTGGGTGCGGTTAGAATCGACCGCGCGCACAACGCACGCACCAACGTATCGCTCATTTACTTCTTATACCCGGCCATCTCTCAATATCCTCGTCTCTCTCCTCAAGAAGCAGCAGGCATCATGAACAAGCAAGCTGCCGTCGAGCGCGGGCGTGCTCTCGCCCGCTCCTTTGTCGCCCCGAGTGGCTCGCTCTTCCCCTGGGTGCCCAAGCCCAGTACGTCTCCTCCTCATCCTCGTTGTTAGTCTAACACCCAGTCAAGCTCCTTTTCCTCCTCCTCGTCTTCCTCAACTCGTCTTCCTTCCCCTTCCTCTGGCACATCCGCGTCTGGGTGCACCCCATCAAGGCGTGGTTGGCGGCCAAGGTCCTTGGCCACAGGCGATACTGGATCGGCTGGCGGCGCAAGTATGAGGCTATGGGCGGGCTCGCGAACATGCGCGTCAAGAGCTGGCGCCGCGCTCTCTTCGACGACTGCGACTACAACCTTCATCTTTCCAACTCGGCGTATGCCAAGAGCAGCGACGCGAACAAGATGAAGTTCTGCATCGACGCGTTTGCCCCCTGCTTCGTTACCGGCATCCACATGGCCCTGGGAGCTAGCCACTGGCAGTACATGCGCGAGGTCCCCATGGGCAGCAACTACCTCATGGAGACGAGGATAGGAGGATGGGGCGACAAGTGGTGAGTCGATTGATGGTAGCAGGGCGTGGGCCGGCGTCGTATTAGGCTCTCACCTGCCGGATACCCGGGGCCCGCTGACACTCACATCCTACCGGTTCCCGCAGCCTAGGACAAACATGACTGACACCAGGATTCACTGCGTCACCGAGTTTGTCATCTACCCCGGCAAGAGCAAGAAGGCACGCAAGCCCGATGTGGCCGACAAGCCGACTGCGCTGCCGCACATCGACATCCCGAGCAGCGGCACTGACAGCGGGATCGACACGCCTGAGAACGGGTACGCGAACGGCTCGGCCAACGGGTCCGCCAACGGCGTCGCGCACAAGCCGACGACAGTCTCGCACGACGAGCTGATGAAGCGGCTCATGCTCAAGGCTCGCGAGCCGCGCGCCGACGGCGGCATCGTCACCTGCATCGCCGTCACCGACTACTGCTTCAAGCAGGGACGGATAACGGTCCCGCCCCGCATTGCCATGCACATGTCGCTCCTGAGCCCGAACGAGGAGCGCCGTGCCCACGCCCTCAAGCTGTTGACGGGGCCGGACGGCGGTGCGGCCTTCTGCCGCGGCGGCTGGAAGAACGACCCGCTTGCGGACGAGCTGGGCCGGGACGTCGGCCTCGGCGACGACGGGACGCAGGGGTGGGCGGAGGCGGCCAAGGGCCACATGGAGGGCGTGGGCGCTGCGCTGCTCCAGGTCGCGCTCGCGAGCCCATAGGCCGACTCAAGCCGTTGGTCCTCCTTGCTGGGCAGCATCTAGACTGCCCGGCCTCACATCCTTAGTCATAGCTCGCCCTAGTGAGTTAATCATATGCATCACACCCATTATACTACATATGTACACGTAGTTGCACTGCTGTTCTCGAACCAAGCATGTATGCATATTCTGCCGCTGTTGACGGAGCACATCCACACACACCTCCCACCCAGACGCTCAAACCGAGTTCACCTCCACTTGACCCCGACCCAAGCACGTGACCTCCCTGAGAATGACACAACGCCAAAGTCAGCCATCATCCTCACTCCTCTCCACACGCGCCATGGACGACTGGGAGACTGTGAGTATGCGCGTGCGCGCGCGCGCCTCGACTAGAGCGCGCTGCAGCACTCCGCCCAAGCTAACTCAAGGCCGAGCTCGAGCCGAAGCGCGCGCGCGCGCCGCCGAGCGCGCCGAGCGGAGCACCAGCACCTCCGACTACATCGGGCCCACCTCCCGCACATCCCGCACCCGCACCCGCGACGGAGCGACGGCAGCCCATCGTCCTCGCGCGCCGCCCCGCGGCCCCGGCATCACAGGCGCCCGCATCGGCGCCGGGGTCAGCGCCGGCGCCACCGCACGCGTCGCACCCCGTGCTCCAACATCCCCAGCCTGGCGCGCCCGCGCCAGACGCCGACGACGAGTGGTTCCGCGGCGCGCCGGCGTCCAACCGTCAGATCTGGGACAGCGCGTGAGTATTGCGATCCTGCTTCGAGCTCTGCGACTGGTCTTCGTCGCGAGCGAGTATTCCGCCACGAACGTTTTGCGCGCTCCAACGCCCCTCTTCTCACTGCCCCTCACCCTGCCCACATCCCCATCGCCCACATACTGCCTGCGCCCGCCCGATCTATTGTGTTTCTTCACTCCTGCCCCCCCCCCCCCTTAAGCTGACGCCAGTAATCGCGCCCCGCTCCCCGTCATGACGGCGCCCTCGGCCCCCCCGCCGCAACTCAAGATCCTGAAGCGCGACCCCGCGCCGCGCCCGTCCTCGGGCAGCTCGAGCGGCACCGCGACGCCCAAGACCCTCGCGCAACGCGAGCAGGAGTACCGGCTCGCGCGCGAGCGTATCTTCGGGAAGGAGGAGGTGCCGAGTTCGTCTGCGTCCGCGTCGTCCGCGACCTCGGCGTCTGGGTCCGCCGCGGCGTCGTCGCCGAGCACGACTAGTGCGAGTGCGAGCGCGAGTGCGAGTGCTAGTGCGGGTGCGAGTGCTAGTGGGGGTGCTAGTGCGGGTGACGGCAGAGGTGGAGGTAATGGGAACGGCGGAGGGAACGGTGGAGGGAACGGTGGAGGGAACGGCGGAGGGGCAGGGGCAGGGAACGGCGGCGGAGACAGGAGAAGCGCGCGCGGAGGTAAGCGCTCGGGAGGGAGTACGCCGCGCACGCCGTCCGGGCGATCGACGCCGGCGGCGGACGAGCTCAGTCGTGCCGTGGCGCAGCTGTCGCTCGATCGGCGCGGCACGCCAGGCAGCGTGCCCCCCACTGCTGGGGGCGCTGGCGGGGGCGCTGGCGGGGGCGCTGGCGGGGGCGCTGGCGGGGGCGCTGTGGGTGGCGCTGGGGACGGCGGTGCCAGCGAGTTCGACCGCGGATTCGACAAGCTCGATGCGCGCCGCGGCCACTCGCCGTACGGATACACGGGGTATCAATACGGCGCGCAAAGCTACACCACCTACCAGCACCAGCACGCCGCCGGATACCGGTACACGGCGTATGAGGCGCAGACCTTCGGGCCGCGGTACGCGCAGCCCCCGCAGCAGCAGCAGACGTACTACCGCCCACAGGCGTACACGCAGCCGCCCGCCCAGTACCCCCACACCCAGGCGCCGCACACGTACAGCGCGCCGTACACTGCGCCGACGACTACCCCGCCTTCGCAGTCGAACTCGCAGGCGCATGCGCCAGCGCCACACTTGCCTCCCCAACCCTACACTCAGCACAGCGCGCCGTACACGTACACCTCGCCGCCGCCCACTTTGCCCGCGCGCCCCGCGCCGCCCTCCGTTCCACCAATACAGCCCCGGGGCGGCGGCGTGCTCCGTCAGCCGAGAGGTCCGGGGCAGGGAGGATTCGGACGATAGCTGGTAGCGATTGGGAGTATGCATAGATTCCTGAGATGGAGCGTGGGGTACCGTACAACAAGACGCAATGCATGCTATATTCCTTCCCCCGGTACACCCTCTAATAGAAGCCTAGTCGTCCATCTCGCCTACCAACTCAGCCGTCCGCTTCTCCGTCAGACTCGCCACGTCCTTGGCCTTCACGCCCTGCTTGAACCCGTGCTGCATCGCGATCAGCTTCTCAGCGCTCCACAGCCGGCTGGTCATGCCGCCGATGGCGGAAAAGAGATCGCCGACGCTCTCGCATGCGCAGATCTCGGCTTCGTTGAGCCTGAGCACGGCGAGCGCAACGCGGAAGAGCACGTCGTGACCCTCGACAAAGAGCACGTCCCAAACCCTAAACAGAGTTTCAACCGGGAGGCAGTCGGTGAAGAGGGAGAGGAACCAGCCAAAAGTGAGGGCGGTCAAGTCAACCTGGAGCGCGGAGAGGTGGGCTGCAATCTTGGGCAGGTGCGTCGACACCAGGTCGGATAGGACGAGCTGGTCGGCTCGGCTGCCCAGCAGTGAAGGGGCGAAGAAGTCGGGTGGAAGGAGGCGCTCTACTATACAGTGCAGCACCCAGAAGGCCTGCTCTTCGTCCTCGTACGTCAGTAGTAGCGTTGCAGCCAACATCTGTCGTCAGCGCACTCCATGCTGAAACTCACGTTCATGCCCTGACAATACCCGACCGCTGGGTTGTGCCACGAGTATGCTGTCAACACCCGCCGCAGCTTGGCAACTCCTGGCCCGTCGCCTCCAAAGAAGACGTTGCCCGGGAACGTTCTCCCCACGTCCTTCTCGATCTCAGCCATGACCATACTCTGATCGTCCTTGTGCACGGCAAGAATCTCCGCATACTCGCCCGGCACGAGCAGATTGCGCGCGCCACTGCACTCGGCCCATACATCGCCGCGGTACGGCATTGGGATACCCTTGCGCACGAGACGTAGGAAGGCGCGATACTCGTCTGCGCCTTTGGAGGTGCCGCTCAGCGCCGCGACCTGCGCCAGCGCGCCGCCTACGCCGACGTCCTGGTTGCCGCGGCGGCCGCGTGTGCGTTTCCGTAAGAACGCATCCCATTCTGCCGTGCGCGCGCGCTGCTGCTTGTCGTGCATGTCCGTGAGCTGGTCGAGCAAGGACGAGACGGTGAGGCGTGAGGCAGCCGCCGCGGCTGCCGCAGAGGCCGGAGTTGGGGCCGCTATGCCATCGGCCGTCGTGGAGGACGAGCCGCGCACGCTCACGCTCACCTGCTCCGCCGCCGCTATGGGCTTGCTTGGCGCCGGAGCATAGGAGCGTGTCCTCGACCTGGTCGGTGTACCGTCCGCCTTTCCATTTGGCGGCGTGCCACCCGGCGAGCGCTGAGGCGACAGTGACGCGGTTGACTTCGTATCGCTCTTCGTCGATGTCAATGCGGGCCTGCGTTGCGCACGCTCGGGCGTGTGGTCCATGATAGGAACGTTGAGGGAGGACGGGAGCGCGGCAGCACGCTTCACCTTTGCTGGTGGCGGCGGTGTCGGTTTGCGCGGCGCCTCGGGGATGTGGCCCGTCAGACTCATAGGCGCGGGAGTGCCCACCCGACTTGCGTCTTTCAACATGCTCGCGTGCTGAATGTCATCTGCTGTTAGTCCCGCCCTAGATAGTAATCTCACATATGAACCCGTACCGGTCCGTAAGCGGAGGCTGATCGCTCGTGAACCTCGTCGCAGTCGTCAACTTCGTCCTCGAGCTCTGGAAAAACGACCCGAGGTTCTGCCGTGACAGAAGAACTGTCGGCGGCCTCGTTTCGTCCGGCACGATACTGCTCAGCTCAACGCTCGGCGGTGGTGTTTCGGCGGACGGGGAGCCAGTGCCGGGGCTGTGGTCAAGAGATGGAAGCGCTTGGGCCATTGCTGTCGTCGGAAAAGGGCGGGAGGAGGCGCGGTGGAGCAGTGCGGGTCTGGGAGCAGGCCTGTCGCGCGTGTCGCCTAATCCGTCGATTGCCGCCTTGCCGTGCTTCAAAAGTGTCCTTCCAACGGCTACTGTTGCTGCCAATGCTTGGTCCCCGTAGCCGTGCTGGTCTACTGTGGGAGCTTGCTGGCTCCCGACAGACGCAGCGCGCGATCGTGCGCGCGTCCGGCTCGGCGGATCGCGAGACATGATGCCCGCGTCGCGCGCACCACTAACGAGAGCGTGTGCAAGCGAAGCAACTAGCGGGCCGCCCTCCTTGATAAGGATGGAAGCAGGGTCAGGTGTGAGGATACGCTGTCATCAGCATGGCCCTGGGGTTAGACATACTGTTGCCAGGAAGATCGCCCGGAAGGACGGCGTACTTCCCCCATCGCCGCGGCGCCACTCATCCTCTTCCTCGACGGCGCTAGGCGCAAGGCTGGCATTGCTCTTACGCCGCCGCCAACCCCACATGTTCATTCCCCACCGCCTGGCCGTTGGCGACGCGAGGTCGAGCCCGCTCGCGCTGGCGCCGCGCGGCCGGTCCAGTGTGAGGGTGCTGCGCGCGCTTTTGCTGCTCAGAATACTCGTGTGCGAGGGTGCCGGCGACTTTGGCCGAGCGTGGGGGATTGGCTCGGGTTGCGGCCGTGGCAAAGGCTCCGCCAGAGCGAGGGCGAGCGCCCCCCGTGCTGGAGATGTGAGGCTAGTGGACAAAGCATCGGCGAGTGAGTCGTGTATGCGCTGGCTGTCGGCCGACCGCTCCTCGCCCCTCAAACGTGCGTTCTCATCCTCCAGCCGCGCCACTACCTCGCGCAGCTCGCGCACAGCGCGGCTCAGCACTTTGACGGGATGGTCGCGCTGCCGTGCCGGCGGGGAAGGTGGGAAGAGACGCTCCTCCGCCTCCTCCTGCTCACGGTATGCCTCCCACCCACGTTCATAGGGTGAGAGGAAGGTGGCGAGCTCAGACTCGGGCATGTCCTCGAACCGCGTGTCGAGAAGGGCGAGCTCGTCACGCGCGAGAGAGTCCAGCGCGTGAAAAGAGCGCGCGCGCGCAGGTGAGTCGCGCACCCGCTCACGCTTGTTCGACGGGCGCGAGGGGCCGATGCCCAGCAGGTCGGCGTCTGGGGCATTGAAGTTGCCGCCTGTGGTGACACGCTCCAGACCCGGCGACGCTGGTGAGAGGTGAGAGTCGCCGGAGGAGATGCCGGTCGCTGGCGCGGACGCGCGCGCGCGCCTTCCTCCTGCGTCGCTCGCGCTCCGCGTGCCGCGCCGCCCGGCAGCCAGCGGGTGGTCATCGGGGATCAAGAGGTGCGGCCTGGACGGGGAGGACGTGGTCGTTGCCGGACGCGGCGTGGCCTCGGAAGGGGGCGAGGCCATCGCGCTTGAAATAGTCTTGAGGCCGTGGACGAGGAAGAGCGATGTTGTGAAGGTTGCCGATCGTCGCGATCACTCACCCCGCGTATCCGTCTGCCAGGATACCGAATCGCGTCATTGCCGCGTGGAAGACCCTAACGCTTGCGGCCATTACCGCTGCACAGGCAACTTGCACTGGTAACGATGGTAGGTTGTGGCGCTGCAAGCGAGCATCTGGAGCATGTAGCATGAAGCGCAGTTGACGAGCAGAGTGGCAGATCATCCATGCTGATGACTATGTGCACTATTACATATCTGCCTTTGCCCTCTACAACCCGGCCAGACGCGTAAGGTACCGCTCGACGACTCGCTTTCCATTCCGCAGGTTGAGAAGACGGATACGCTCATTGGCAAGGTGTCCCGCATCCGACGACTGGCCTAGAGGCAGATGAACGCAGGGCGCAGCAAACTCGCGCTCGAGCCAGCTCATGGTCGGTACTGTGCCGCCCTCGCGGATCTTGAGAGGGGCGACGCCCCAAACGTCCTTCACTGCGTCCTCCAGAGCGCGGAAGTACGGATTGTCCAAGCTTGCCAGCCACCACGCCGCAGCGTGCGTCACATTCACCTCCAGGTTGTTTGGCGAGTTGAGCTCGGCAAACTTGTCGCGGCAGTAGGTGGTGAGGCATTCGACAATATCGTCGATGTCTTGGTCGGGGACAATGCGCATCGCAATATCCGCCTGCACGCATCTTGAGATGACAGTCTTGTTTGGCGCGGACGTCGTCGAGATATTCGCGATCGAGAAGGTCGGCTGGCACCACACGCGCCTCAGCTCGTCGGCGTCGCGGCCAGACGCGCGGGCCACGTTCTTGAGCAGCTGCGCCTCCATCTCCGTTTTGGGTCGCACCTTGTCGTCTGCAATCAGCTTCGAACACACATTGATTAACTGCATCAACTCACAGAAGCCGGGCACGTTGACGCCGTTGGTGTCCGCCAAGCTCGACAGAAGCTGCACGAGGTCAAACATCGGCTCCTTGACCAATCCACCCTCCACACCGTTGTGCGCGTCTTCACCACCGCTCTGCACCATGAGTTGAGCATACACAACGCCACGCATGCCGTAGACGACACATGGGTCCTCCTCGTCAATCCACGTCGAGTTGGCCAAGAATACAACATCGATGTGCCCGATGCTGTCCTTGTGCTTGCGCACCGAGTTGGCGAACCCACGCGAGCCAGCTTCCTCTTCCCCCTCGACGATCATGACGAGGTCGACGTCAAGTTCCCGGCGCTGCTGCAGCGCCGCAGCTGCGCACGCAACCGCAAGGACTGGACCCTTGTTGTCACTCACACCACGACCATACAGGTACCCATTCCGCCCGTTGAGCTCCCATGGATCGCTTTCCCAGTCCTTTTCACCAGCAGGCTGCACGTCGTAGTGCCCATAGAACAGAACGCGCTTGCGAGGCTTGCCAGTGTCGCGCCCCTGGAAGGTCGCGAGCACGAGCGGGTTTTTCCCTGGGTCGCCAGACAGCATCTCGGAGCGAGCGCCAAGCTGCCCCAGTATCTTGTGCAGAAGGTGCGCCCCCTGCCTGCAGCTCTCGCGGTGCTTCTCGTCGGAGACGGTCGGGATCGCCACGAGCTTGGACAGTGCGTACAGCATGACGTCGGCATTGCTCTCAAGATCTACCTCGACGTCCGTATCGTGAATGGACTTTAGCGAGGTCCCCAGTGATGTCCAAATCTTGACAAACGAGTCGTTGCCAGCAGTGACAAGCTCGTACCCTGGGCCGGCGGCGGCGCGGACGACGGAGCATGCCAGCACAGAGTCGCCATGCGCGTTAAACGCGGCCGTGCAGTCGAATGCGCCGTTGATGCGAAGCACGCGCCCATCGGCAGCGCCGGTGTACACGTCGCTCCCATGGACTGCCATGGCCATGACATCCGACTCGTGCGCCTCGATAGTACGGATGCGCGCACCCGTCTCGAGATCCCACACGTCAATCTCGCCGTCCTGCAGCCCAGCATAGAGGAGCGAGTCGCGGTAGGCAAAGCTCAGAACGGCCCCGGTCAAGCCATTAAACTCGCGCACGAGGGTCAGGCCACCGCCGGGAGCGCACTCCCAGATCTTGATGTCCGAGTCACCGCTGCCACTCGCGAGCCAGCGCGCGCAGTCAGGTCGCTTGATCATCTCCAGCGCGTACACATACCCATAGTGGGCGTAGAATACGATTGAGTCGCAGTCAATTTCGAATTCGACCGCCTCGCGCTCGGCTTCCACCTCTCTCTCAACGGAGAGATACGTGGACCTCCCAGCGCATATCGGCTGCGCTGATGGCGTACGTGGTGTAGATGTCCCGCTGCGCACATCGGCAGGAGGTGTGTCAAAGAAGGAATGCGGTTTGTACCGCCCCGACCGCTGGCTCGGTGTGGATGCGCCATTGCTCTGCTGAATGCTCAAGCTTTGCGACACGGCCACGAGTGAGGGAACTCCTCCGTTTGCACTCTTTCCCAGGGGCTTGCCGAAATTGACCCACTCAATTGACGTGTTCTGGGCGCCAAAGTAGAGGGTGCCGCCTGCCCTGTCATCCCAAGCGAGCGAGTAAATGTCACCAGAAGTGTTGTCGCAAGGGTGTATGATATAGAGCGGCCGGAAAGTTTTGGTTGACCAGATCTGATCGTCAGCCAATCAAGAATATCTTTGACGATTGTTTACTCACGCGAACATCACCTGCACTGCTGGAAGACACGAGCCACCCCTTCTCCTTGACGATCAGAAGCGCAAGCACACTTCCCTCGTGCCCAAGCAGCCTGAACTGGGGCTGCAAGGAAGAGCGGGAGAAGACCGTAATCTCATTGTCACGGCTCTGGCATCCGGCGTAGACGTGCTTCTCGTCGGCAGCGAGACTGAGAACGCGGCCATTACCGACGCTCAAGATGTGACTTAGATGAGGGCTCGATCCCATCCTTTGACGTGTGAGCGAGTCACCTGTTGTCGAGAAGCGGGTGCGAAAGTAGAAAGTTGTGTGAGTGAGTTAAGACAATAGAAAGAGGAGATGGGGAAGGTGGGAGGAGGAGTCGAGGGGGGAAGCGGGAAGGGCGGATGGGAGGGTGGGAATGACAGAGGATGGAACCGAGGGGGGACGGAGGAGTGTTCGTGTGCGAGCACAGAGTCAATAGTGCGCGCCGCGGCCCAATCCAAGATTGATCGAGCGGTCGATGTCGTCGAGTTGGCGATGGCAGTAAAAGTTGAGCAGATATCACAACGCGCGCGTCGGTGGAAGGAATGTCCAGTGTCAGCAGGTTGTGTCGCCCGCATCGCCCGCAGCGAGTCAACTCACCGCGCCGCATTGTCTCTGGGATCGCGTCGTGGCCATTTACCGATGGCGACATTGTATAATCTGTATCGTGCACAGACACCGTTCGCGTGCTGCCGCGGCGCGTGGGAGAGCAATCAGTGATGAGGAGGTGACTTGCCCAATTTGGAGGTCGGTGCAGACGACGACGGCGGCTTTGATGAACGGACGAGTGGCCTAGGGAGGGAGGGCAAGAGTGTGAGAGGAGCAACTGAGCGTGGCGCTGTCTGTGAGTGTCTCACTTGATTGCTTGAGAATGATAGTGAATGTAAAGAAGAAGGAATAGTGAAAGAGGAGGAAGGAGTTGCGTAGCAGGATGGAGCGGCGGGCCAAAGCCAGATCGAGATCAAGGACTCGGGCAACATTTCAGGCACGATATCCGCTCGACAGAGGCAATCACGTCACCTGATCACGATTTTGTCGATCTCGACCCATTCCAGTCATGCACTCACTCATTACCCCTCTCATGCACTCACCGTTTCTCTTCGTAATCACCATGAGCCGCGCGCGTATACGCATAGTTGGTAGTAGGATAACAAGTAAACATTCATCGGCTCATCCCAAACGATACACTAGAACGACTCACTCCGAGTCTCTATCTCCTCATTCTTCTCACTCTGACATCCTCAAGCGTCACTAGGGTGGTCCATAGCTCCAGATCCTGGCGTGACAATCGCCAGAGCCAGAGGCAAGAAGGCCACCTGAGCGCGCGAGATCAATCGAGATGACCGAGTTCTTATGCCCCTGCAGCATGAACTGCGCCTGCCCGCTCAGGATGTCCCAAAACTCGATAGAGCGATCCTTTGAGCCCGAGACGACCCATCGTCCATCGGGTGAGATGGCCACCGACAGAACATAGTCTTTGTGCCCATTTAGCGTGGACGCGCATGTGCCCAATCCCTTTTCGACCTCCTTGGAGCCGGCGGGAGAGTGCTCCACGGCGCGCTTGGTCTGCGCAAGATCCCAGACCCGCAATGTGCGGTCCAGAGAGCCGGAGACGAGCGACTTGCCGTCGGGTGAGAACGCGACGCTGTACACCGAGTCCTTGTGTCCCTTGAGCCGCTCCACCTGCTGTCCCGTCTGGACGTTCCAGACGCGCACCATGGTGTCCAGCGAGCCGGCGGCGACAAGCTTCCCGTCCGGAGACACTGATAGTCAGCAATGCTTTCGCAAACCACTCCAGCGAGGGAACTTACGAGCAACAGACGTGATTCCGGCATCGATCGGGCCGTGCTCGTTGTGGACAAAGTCCTCGATACGCAGATCGAAAATGCACGCGCCCTTCTCAATGTCCCAAACACGTGCAGACTTGTCACCAGAACCCGAGACAAGGAAGCGTCCGTCTCTGCTAAAGTCGAGCGAGTAGATCTCCTGCATGTGTCCTTGGAGTAGATGACGGATGCGTTGCTGCTTGATGTCCCAAATCTACACGTCAGGAGGACGTTTTCATTGCAGCACTGTAGTCCAACTCACCCGAATCTGACGATCCTCCGCGCCAGTAGCAAGGAACTTGCCATCTGGGCTGAAGCAGATGCTGCGAATGTAAAGATCACCTGTGCGCGGTGCTGACTCGTCGAGCAGTACACACGTCTTGGCGCCAGTCTTCGTGTCGTAGATCTGAGCGGTGCGATTGCAACCCGTTGCGAGATACTTGCCGTCGTTTGAAAACTTTACACAGCAGACAACAGTATCGTGCCCTAGAGAGTGAACCAGCGACACATCCAGCTGCTTCTTGACCTTGGGCGACCAGATAGCGAACCAGTCGGAACCTTCCTTCTTCAACTCGCGCGAAACATTCTCGGGATCGAGGTCGGAGAGCAGAGGCGTGGGGCTACCCTGTGGTGGCACTGAGCGGGAGTCGCGGCGGTCGATGCCAGTCGAGAGGGGTCGTTGAATGGGAGGAGGGGGGTATGATGAGCGCGAGGACCCGACATCTCCTCCACCTCCGTTCGCCGGTGGTGCCAGAGGAGCGTAGCCATCGGGGCCACGAATATCCCTTTCGCGCTCGCGCTCGCGTTCACGTCGGTCGCGCTCCATCTCGCGATCGACATCGGCAGATGGCGCACGGTGGGGAGGGGACGTGGGCATGGGGCCGTTGGATGCGGCTGCGGCACGCAACATCTCGTTCTCTCGCCGAAGTCGCACAATCTCGGCCTCTTGTCTGGAAAATTAGTAAAAAAGGCTCACTGTGCCCCACGCCGGCGTGCTCACTCTTGACCTCGCTTGGTGTGCTGAGTCTCCAACTCATACAGCGCTTTCCGAATAGCGGTCAGCTCCTGGATCTGATGATTGACTGCAATGGTCAGCGGATGAGCAAGAAAGCAAGGTGGCTGTGCTGCACACTCACGTTGGCTTTCATATTCGTCGCGCTGAGCCTTCCAGCCAGCTGCCTCGGCAAGAGCATTGTCGTACTCGCCTTTGATCATATCAAAGGCCTCCATAAGGCGGGATGCCTGTGGGGGGACATTGGCGGGGGGTCCGCCTGTCTGGGCTGCGGCAGGAGGAAGCCGGTGATGCTGCAGTGGGACAGCAAGACAAGAGAGTTTGACCATTGTGGTAGGATGGGGAGAGAGGAGGGGGCGAGGCGCACAGGCGCAGGCGTGGACGTGTGGGCAAGGGATTGACGAACGCAAGTTGAGCGCATGAGCGACAGGAGGCGTGTGGTGAAGAGATCAAGGCGCAGCGGCGGCGGAGGTGACGAGCGGTGGGGACACACATGTCGCCAGGTAACAATGGGGCAAGGGGCGTGAAAGACAGGTGCGGGAGAAGGGCGTGAATGTCGAGATGAGAGAGAGTCGATGGTGTAGGCAAGGAAAGGAAGACGGGTGTCAGCAAACGTTGTCAATCGATGGAATGTGGAGGAGCAAAAGCGAGACAACTGGCGGCAATTCTAGCACATCAAGGGCTGGAGTGTGCGCATGCAAGACAGATGCGCGATTGTCGTGAGAAGGTGGAGGATTGGGAGGCAGAACTCATGAGAGAGGGAGTCGAAAGAGGAGGGGAGGTTTTGGGGGGAAATGATGGAACTCACGTTGTAAATACCGGGAGGCTGCATGATGAGGTGTGGTGTGGTGTGGTGTGGTGTATTTGGTGCGAGGTGGGGTTTGGTTGTTGAAGAGCAGAAGAGGAGATGAAAACAGAAGGAGGAGGAGAATGGGTGAGAAGCAAGGAGAGGGCCAAGAGGGGTTGTGCACAGAGGGCGAGGACCGAGTACAATCAAGTCTGGGCGGCGAGTTGCAGGATGGAGGCCGAGGTCGAGGGCTGAATGAGTAGATCAGTGGAATGGAGAGCCTTGACGACGAGGCTGGCGTGTCTCGGGTCTGTGGAAGTGTGCTTGTGCAAACCCGGAAAAAAGGATGGGAGGGGGCTGGAGCGCGAGGGGGAGGGTTTGTCGCAATCGATGCGAGCTCCGTGCGTCAAAGTTCGGGCGAGTCTGACGGAGTGAAGGGGATGATTGATGAAGCAAAAGGAAAAGAATGAGGTGTCGGCGGGTTAGAAGAAGGGGAGGGGGTGCGTGTTATTGTTGGCGGTGGATGAGGAGGGAGAGAGAGGATGGGTGGGTGGATGGATGGATGTAAGAAGAGGATGGATGGTGGAGTGGATGGTTGAGTGATTGAGAGAGAGAGCGGATGGAAGGAGAGAGGGTGGAAGCAAGGCGATGGAGGAGACGCAAGTGTGAGTGGTGTGTAGGTGTAATCGCCGGAGGGCCGAGGGAGGGG